TTTTCGCGCGCTTTATGCAACGTTGTTGCTGATTGGTCTAAAATGAAAAGTTGTCGAATTAGTTTACTCAGCAAATCAAGTTTTGTCGTCTTTCAAACATTTGCTAGGAAAACAGAGATGGAATGACAAACAATTGTGAGGCTACTGGCGGTGGTCTTCCGGTTCTTATGTAAAACTGACTGTAAGAAGGTAAACAGAGCAAAGAAAATTGCGATGGAAAGACGAAAAACCTCCCACGAATTGAAGGAAACTAAAGAGCTATTCCTTAACAACGGACTTGAAAATCTCATCTTCTCCGGGATTAGTGCTAACTTTAAGTCTTATAAGAGAACGTCCAGAGTCCACCCTATCGAGTTTCCTCACATTTAAAAAAAGGACCTAGAAGACCTAGAAGTGAAAACTGAGAAGCTTCTCGGCAGGGCTGTATTTAATCAACGTTGTTTGTGTCACGGATTGTCACCCAGGTCTGTTTTGATCTTCTCCGTTGTATTTTGAACTTATTATGTTTGTGTGTTCTGACCATTTTTAATAAATGCCGACATTCCATTGTTGAGGCAACTTTATTCTAAAACACGGTTTTATTCAACCTTACAATTTCGGGAAAAGATGAATTTTCTGCGTCGCGCGATGTTTGTAGAAAACCAGTCAAACCGGTCTTGTAAAGTACAAATACCGTGTGATATTTGCACTCATTTTTGGGTGTTATTTGTACTCTACTGAGTGAAGTTGAATAATGATAAACAATCATTGGACGAAGTTTTTGTGATATCCGGAAAAGTCAAGGTCGAGGTAAGTGTTATCAGCCTAGCCGAAGGTCGAGGCTGATAACACTTACCGAGACCTTGACTGTTTCTGATATCACAAAAACCTCATCCAATAATTGTTTATTATTGTTCACTTAACAAGTCATGAGGGAATAAGAGTGGTTTTGCTCCCAGGGATAAAAATCAGGCCAGCTGGCCAATCGGCTCCCAGACCTCTGTAAAAATCTCTATAAAAGAAAAGAAGGAAAGAAAGGCCAGGGTCTTTGCCTTGAAAACGGTTGGACTTTTACCTGCTGGCAGAGGCTTTTTTCTCGGCCCCTCTCGCCAGCCAAATACCAAAGGCGCCTCCGTTCAACCTCATTGGCACTGAATAAAAGGTCGAGCATTGGCGAGTAAACTATGAGAAAGATGGCATGTAGTCAGACCCAGATCGTCCAACGTTAAACTTGACATTTCCGGTGCAAATTCCCCACTCTCCTGGGCTGGCACAAACCATGGTCATGGTCATTTGAAGTTTCGAATTGATCAGCGCATTCATTCATTTTGGTGCGAATATAGGACATCTTTTAACCCCCCACTTGCACAAACCACTCAGGAAAACCTGGAAATGGCATTTTTGACTTTTTAATGACGTTCAGTTTTCCTTGGAGTGAAACTTCATTTTCGCGGGGAAAAGCTCTAAAATGTATCTAAAAAACCCAGTAAGTGAAAACACCGCTACATGGGCTTATCATGTTAGTTGCTGGCTCCGAGCTAGAGGGATCCTGTCTTTTTGAAGGTAATAGTGACTGACTTACATTCCATTTTCTTGGTAGAGTGGGAGCGTCCTCTTACGGCAGCAAAGTAGAGAAAATATTGAAGGGGCTGAGTTAGGAGTCTCCATAGCTCATGCAGCTGTAATACTGAATGCTGGCTTTATCGTTGCCTCCTAACAAATGCATTAACTGCAGTAAGAAGAAGCTAGGGCACTGATATACGATTATGCGTAGGCAGGAAAGGCTTTATCCTCTCTTGCTGTAGGTACACCCGTTTGGGAAAGTTTGTAACATCATTTGAAAATCCACTTTTGGATAAGGCCACCTTCTTTTGAAGTAATTTATTAAATAAGTGATTGTTTTTAGTGTCTATATAGTAAAGACAAATAACTAGCATCCCTTTGTAGTTCACATTGAATTCACTAAGACAATGGCCTATTTATTTAGGAGTATTTCTTAAAACAGGAAAAGGAGTGATCCCCTTCATTAAAACTTTAGCAGAGAAAAATTTGGCTGTGATTTGAACAAAACTAATTTATGTAGCATGCAGACTGATCGTTCTGTTTGAATTTAAAACGTTCCCATGATATCGGTGCAAATCCCTAAACGCGGACAACAGAACTGTTTTTCGGAATTTTCCGTGTTGTGTTTTGAATTATATTATAAAATATTGCACCAAATCCTTTTTTTTTTTAATTTTGCATTAAGTGCCCCTGTCAGCGAGATACTTAAACGCTCTTCGCAGTATACATCGGAATTTAATTTGGTCAATTTTAACTGGAAAATACAGAAAAAATTTACCATACCTTGGGATTGCAGCATTTTTCATCCAGAACTGAAAGTTTACGAGTACCAAAGACTAGAATAAATTGCGTCAATAAGAAGTCATTGTCCTTAGGCAGCAGGAAGCAAACGTTTTAATTCATTGGTGTATAACCACCAATCGCGCTTTCACGGCAACCTCGAATCGTGGATTGAATTCCTAAACTTCTGGGATATTTTCAACGGCCGCGATTATCATCTTAAGTAGTTCGATATCATTAGCGATCAGGAAAGTTTTAATAAGGATCAAGAATAAAAAAGATTGTCATTTTAAGCGAAAAATAAGCGCTAGTTAAGCAGAAAAGGAAACGATAAGAAAATCTGTTGCTAAGAAACAGCTCGCACACTTTGACTGGACTGATGTTATGTAGTTACCGAAGGACTGCCTGCAGTCTGCCTGTTTGTGACGTAAGAGGGCAGCGATTCTTTGATAAAGGTGGACGGAAAACAATGTGCATGTCATCTAAAGTTAATAAAGTTTTGTTTCCTTCGAAAAAAGCAGGTGTATTGGGTCCAATAATACATCTTTTTCTGTGGATTTTTCCAATGTGTGAGCACAGTTTTTGACGCAATAAATAGCCTTTCACCCACGCTTTTCTGCGTGGCTCAATAAGGAAATAGCCGGCACATAACTAGTGATGAAAATATGTTTCTATGGATGAATCTGCCCTGTCAGACAATTTTTTAGTACTTAGACAACGCGCAATGTAGGAAAAGTTAGACAGGAAATAATACTCTGTAAAATAGCAGACTTCGAGCGACCACCAAAGATAAAAATGATCGGGAAAGAAAAATGGTCGCGGGAAAACTAATAAGGCTGCAACTAAAGCACTTAATTAAGGCGGGAATCTTTCGGCGGCTCAGTAGAGAGTAGTCTCCCTCGCAGCCGTTTTTTGGATGTCAAGCAACGCTCCCCCCAAAAGAACTTTGGGGAGCGTTGCGTGACATCCAAAAAACGGCTGCGAGCGAGACTAAGGGCGCTTTCCATTTGTCAGAACTAACCGGCCTGACCATTCCAGTCATAACGAGAATTTCACTTTCAAACAAAACTATCCAGCCTGATTAGTCAAATCCTTAATAGTATGCACGAAGGAGATGGTGTTTCAACAAAAACTCTCGGAAAAAAGCACATTTTTCATTGTCAAAATGACTGGTCTGGCTATGGTCCGGCCGGCCAGTTCTGACTTTTGGAAAGCGCCCTAAGTAGAGAGCCGATTCGCTGCTTCATCTTCCTTTATTGACCAAAAACATTTACTAACCCCCTGCACCTGCAAACCCCCGGCGCTCAAGGGGCGGGGGGTAAGGGGGCGCAGCTCTCTTATCCCTGATGAAAATAAGGGACCATTATAGTCTAGGAGTTATAAGAGACGCTATATAAACCACTTCGTTATATAACAGAACATAACTGACACCAATATTAACCGAGTTTATTTACTTCAGTTTTCGGTAAAATACGTGTACAAAATATAGGCGGATTTCATATCAGTTCTTCCAGTATTTACCTAAACCACGTCAGTTATTGCATTTCAATCGGAGTCAATTGGAGAAGTAGGCCAGTAGTAAACAAAACTCAAGCTTCGTTTTTTTTTTGTTTTGTTTTTCAGCTTGGGTACCAAATAGAAAAACCCGACCAATGTAGCAAAAGCTCGCAAACAACCCAAAACCTCAACTTGATGTTATTTCTTTGCACTGAGCTTCTTTACATTGTCTTAAAACACAGGTTATTCAGAACACCTAAACTCTAAAAGATCTCGGTGTGCGAGTACCCTTTAAAAATGACAGCCTGAGCCGAGTTGCCTGTCGGCCGGACAATTCCGAAGACATCCTTAAAACGTAATTAACATCACTGAAGATTCCTTCAATCACCTTCTACTCATCTGATTTTTTGAGAGACCTCTCAAGATCAAATTGTCCAATAATTTAAGATCTACAGTTTTTATCCCCATAAAAGAAAAAATGAGTAACCCCCGTTATTTTTATGTAACTCCTTTCCCCTGTTCTGGGATTTAATAACCTAGGAATGAGACCGGTGGAACACTCCCGATAATGGCCCATACGGAGAGGCTCCACCCGAAAGGGGTACCTTTTTCAGGCTTCAGGTATATGAAAAGGTAGGGATTTTACTCGTTGATGTATATGAAAGGGTAGGGAAATCTCTCATTTCGGTCCGTAAAAAGGCCAAAAAGGGCTGACAGATGCATTGTATTTAATGGCTATGAAAAGGTCGAGTAAACGTTCTGGTTTTGTGATTTATTCGTATTTTAAAGACTGCATTTACGGCAGTTGAAAGGGATGCAAAGTTCTAAACTTGGTATGTGAAAGGGGTACTGTTTGTCAAGAGTGTAGATGATATACTACAGGGGTACCTTTTCTGTCAAAAAATGGTATATAAAAGGGTAAAGGGTTGGACTTTGGAACGAGGCATCCTATTAAAGAACTTTGTTGAGTACCCCCTGGAGGGATGAGATCCGTAAGACAATCCCCCTTTTGTTATACTAAGCTCTAACTAAAAGTCACCCTTAATTTTTGTTACTTTACGACCCCCTGACTGAAAAAAAAAAAAAAAAACACGGGGGAGGACGTTTGTTCTATGGAGTAGAACATTCCTCTATCTTCCAATCTGCGATAAACCTATACTTTACAAGGCCAACGGCTAAAGTCAAAGCTTTGCTTGAGCTGGGAGGTTCTCTCCTGCCAATCCCGCGAGGAGATTTTTCGCGGCAAGAACAGCCATAGCCTCCCTTGTGGATTCCTCTGCACTGCCAATGTGGGGAAGCACAACTGAAAGATCAAACACGGAAAGAATGGTGACACTGAAGGGCTCTAAGGGATTGATGTTTCGTACATAGCTGCGATAATAATTTAGCAATTACTATATGAGGTTGAGTATGATCTCAACAACGCTGAGGCTGAGTATGATCTCACCAATTCTGCAGATTGCGGAGGGTGTTATCCGCCTTGGCCCCTTCTCGACCTGCGGCAAACTTCTTTAGATGATTGCTAATTTTTTTGCCGGGGTAGCAGTAGTCTCCCTTGCAGCCATTTTTTGGATGTCACGTTGGGGGGCCTTGCGTGACATCCAAAAAACGGCTGCGAGGGAGACTAGGGTAGTAGCTGCTGTCGCCTTAATAGCGAACTGTCCGCATGACGAGAGTTGACTGTAATAGAGACCTAATGTTTCCCAGGGGCACCCAACGACAATTTTCGGAAAAATATCTGTTCGGAAGACGATTTAAGATCTAGAATTTTCGGAACATTTGTTGTAAAATTTCTTGCTTGCCTGCTTCTCCTAGGATTTTCGAACCTCTAAAATATGGTATAATTGCCTATTTTAACGGATTTTTACCCTAAAAAGGTAACCTAGAATTTTCGGGAGCCTTTTTTCTGGCTGAAATTTTCGAAAAGGTAAGTTTGGATCCCTATTATTTGCGGATCACTAGACTTTCAGCATCCTTTAGGCTTGTCTACTTTTTAAAAATCCCCTATTTTTATACGGATATAGATGGCAAATTTATGGTTTTATGCAAATTGTTACGATACAAAATCACCAAAACTTGATAATTCTCGTTGGGTGCCCCTGGTTTCCATCTTCATGAGATCGGGACTACTGATCCTAGGGCTTATTCCAGGAATTGGATGTCAAGAGCCCAATGGATCCCCTTCTTTAAATATAGGGGGAAAATTTTGAAGACAGAGAGGCAGAAATAATCTGAAATGAATGGGAATGAAGAGTTCTTACCACAGTTCTTAAGGGTGAGCAGTGGATGATCCAAAGGCAGAGGTTCAGGAACTGTTACATCCAAACCAGCACCCTGGAAAAAGAAGCCATGTCACCAGCAAGTTACCAGGGTCCAAACAGACAAAATTGTTTATTACTAATTGACGACAAACTCACAGAGCCTCTATACAGTCGGTCATCAGACTATGTTCGACTAAAATTTTTTCAATTAAAATTTGACGAAATCAAATGATACACTCTTTCCACGTACGAATGTTGTTTATCCGGCCCAGCCTGAATATTCTTATTTTTCTGCCGTTTTTAGGCTGAAAATATTCTTACGGCTCTTGGCGGTTTTGTTCATTTCTTTTGTGCTATATTTACCGTACAAATCATGTACCGTTCATCAAACTGTCATTAGCATTGAACATTTGATTATAGCAGGCGCAGAAGGCTTTCAATTTTTTTTCTACGTTTGCAGTTTAGAAAAAGGAATAATTCACATACGGTTAAGTTAAAAACGTATAATTGTACCGCCCCATGTATTGTAATTACACAACACACAAAGTTGTATCTTTTCAATATCAATCAATCTCAGTTTATTCTTCAAATATTCTTAAAATTTCACAAATTTCAGCCTCGATATTCTCAAAAAAAGAAAAGAGTGTATTAAGGATAAGCAACCAGGGTGGTGACGGCAAAGGAGACGTCAATTTATAAAGAGCATTCTCGTTCTTCTAAAATTTAGGGCTGTTATTTCAACCGGCTCAACGGTTGAATTATAAGCGAGTTTTCTGGAGTTGGATTAAAAGGGAGCGAATCAAAGTTTAAAAAGAGAAAGAAAAATGTGTCGTCGAGTGTTAAAATGCTCTATGATACGTCACAAGGCAATGTTTCCCGTCGTAGTTTTGCAGGGAAGATGAGCCTGTTGCCTTTGCCTTCCTGGTTGCTTTAAACTCCCTATTCAATGCTTCGGCGCACGTCAAGTTGGCTACATTTTTTTGCAACTCAGGCCTTGTTCAAACGGATCTAGCATGTTGTGACAATTTCATCTAACTTTGTTCGATGCCTTATCGGAATGGTGTTGGCCCGACTTGATCCAACAATGTTCGATCCATAACACCACCTTGTTGGGTGGTGCTGAATGTTGTTGGATAACGGTTGGAATGTCCAACATCATCCTACTTTAATTTTCTGCGGATATTCGTGCTTTACCCTCTCATAAAAAAAATGAACAGTTTTTCAAATTCTAATTCTATCTAGAAAATGTCTCTCTCCAAATAACGTTAGTTAGTTAGCTTTTTATGCGATCGAGCATCATGGAAGTGCCCGTCATGCCAGATATTTATTACATGTAGTTACAAAAAAACGTACCCATATCTGGCCCGTCTTCAGTGCTTCATACAAATCATCCTGGTTCACCACTCCTCCTCTAAAACAAAACAATAAGAGCCCCAAAAATTTACTTATTTATTCGAGACCAACAAATGATACTATGGTATTCGTCCTCGGAGTGACCGTTATCTCAAATGCCAAGACGCCATGAATTATTTTAGTCTGCAAGCAAGCTCTATATTTGGGTGATGTCGTAGAAAGTCACGCGCGAGCTACACGCAAAAGGAGATGATCTCCACTCGAAATAGAGAGCTTACTCGCAGGGAAAACTACCTTTAATCAACCTTTATCTTTAACAATTATCTACTGAATTAACAACGCAAAAAATAAAACCTCTCGTGCTCTGATTTTACCTGCTAGTGTTCACGAAAACCGCATTGTTTTTCATCTTTGAGAAAGCATCTTTGTTAAACATACCTGTGTGCAGGAAAAAAGAGATGCATAAACGGTTACGTGTTCCAGATGAGATAACAAACTCATCATAATTGCTTTAGAAAAACCGGTGAGTTAACGATTTTTTTCCAAATGGAAAAGTACCGAGTCCTCTATCTGGAGTGTCGCTCATGTATTGGGACATTTCATTTTTTAATCCGCACCCCCAGCCCGCAAGAAATTCATGTTACTGAGAAGCCATTTTCTGACTGCCCCCGTATGGAAGAAAAAAGTTCCGAAAAGATATTTTGCCCCAATTTACCATTTTTAGATAGACCATAAGGCAAGTTGTTTACCCGGCAATATTTTGCATAACCATTGTTTCCAATTTCTCCTGGTTATTATGGTCGTCTCAAGAGAAATTGAACACAATGGTGTTACAAAATTTTAAGGGGTAAACAAGGTGCATTATGGTCTATGTGAAGGTGCATTATTGTCTATGTGAAAATGATGAATTCAGATTTCCATACCCCCATAAGGAAATGAATTAGGGATTGCGACAGCCACCATAAAAAAATCCAATTCCATCGATTTCCTATATTTGAGCCAAACTTCAAAACATTGATAATGTCCATTGACACTTTTCTAAACGCGCCTCTCATAAGGGGGTGGGGGCCTGCAGTGACGATAACACCTATCCCTTGACATTCACAGCTGGACTTGTGGGTTTCAATGGTGTTGTTGAGATTTCAACTTTACCTGCTGTTTCTTGTGTAAGAGCAGTGTGGGCAGTCACAAAGTCAGACTCCTTAAACAACGTCTCCATATCCACTGAAATATTTAGAAAAGAATACTCTCATAAGCTCAGTTAGCCGACAAAATGACACATATTTTAAAATTTATTATCAGCATTAATGACATTGAAATTTTCTAGGGATTTAGTTGTTTAACACCCAGTTCTTCTCATGACATTAACCCATGGTATCAGACAGGAGAACTATTAGGTTATGTTTCAGGTAAGATTCTTTGGTTGAAAATGTTAAACTAAAAGTTACCAAGAACAATGAAGGTACTTAGGGTGATGTTCAATGGAAACCATACAATTTAAGCTTACATTATGATGTCAGTTGTCACTACGGTCAATCAAAACTTACTCTGCCAAATCAGAATCGGATTCTAATGCCGATATTTTTCTGGCGATACAATAACTGCCTTCTAATAATAATAATATCCTAGGAGGATGATGCAAAACAAATCATCTGTACATGCAGTATGACAATATATTGACAAACAATAAATATCTCACCATGTTCGGCTTTGGGTGTGACCATCTTTTCAACTAATTAAGACAAAATAAAATTTAAAACGTCATTAGACTTTCAGTCAGTGGAAACTTGAGCTTCAGTCATTGAATTGTTACAGCTTGGTGCATGTCACTCCACCATACCATATTTGCATTCCATGTTTTTGTGTTGGCCACATGCCAACAGATCTTTTCCAAGGTACACTTCAGGCAAAACACTCAAATTAAAAAATGCACATACGTTTGAATTCTCTTAATTTCTTAATTCAACTGACTTAATACACATTTGTACCTAGCCCCCTGCTCAATTAAAACATGGCTTATTGAGTGATGGCAAAAGTGTCACTCCAAGACAATCTGGGATTCTGTATGCCGTGCTAAGGATTCTGGTACTGGATTCTTACAGGTACTGGATTCCAGAGTTGGAACTTGGATTATCCAAACGATTTTGCATTCCTTGAGCTGAATGCCAGATTCCAAAGCCCAAGATCCCCCATTCGAGAAGCAAAAATTTCCAGGATGGTGAAATCTGGATCACCTTACAATGAAAACTGGCTTTGGCCAAACTAGAAGGGGTAACATGACCAGCTTCTTACCTTCTTCAAGGAACTATAAAACAAACCTTAAATACCCCAAGGGATGGGTAAGGAGGTACTTGTAAATTAAATGAAACCAAAAAATATATCCACAGGGGAGGGAAGGGTATTTTACTTAAAATCAGAGACTATTGACACTGCTGCCTTATAAATGGAGTTTGACTCACCATTTTCTGGCTTCTTTTCGACGTCAGCATACAAAAATCTTGCAACACCAAATGGAGCAAGTCTTTGTGCCACTGCAACACCTGAAGGATATGATGAATTACAGCAACTAATAAGCAAATAAATAACAAATAAATAAATAAAATAATGATTTTGATGGTAGCAAATAAACATAAAGAGTCTGTGGCTCTTTGTATCTACCATTTCCCTGGTGTAATTGGATTTTGGAATTGTTGGTTTTCAAGAAAGGGGAAAATGAGAGTGGGTAAAGAAAAAAAACCTCTCGAAGAAAGGAAGAAAGGAAGAGAACCAACAACAGAATCAACTCAAACATCACATTGTCTCCGTGATTCAAAATATGAAGCCACATTAGGTGGGAGTGAGTGCTTCCACCACTACACCACTCTTGTTCCCTACAGCATACATGTCAGTAAATACCCAGTATCTAACAAAGTGATTAACATCAAGTAAAGACAGGTATATAATTTACAAACACACAATAGCCTGCTCTCCAGGGGCTTGATTAGCTTAATGGATAGAGCATCATATTCGATCATCGCAAACATCAGGGTAATGATACTGGGTCAAGCCTAATCTTTTTTCAGGTTCTTTTTGAACCACTTAGGTTGTTTATTCAACTGCTAGGATCATTTCCACTTTCATGACCACTTCTCCCTTGGTTTCTCTTAGAATTTATACGATGCATTTTGACAAGAAAGTCAAGAAGACAATTAGAAATGACTTAGGGCTTTTACAGGCTCTCTTGAATTAAACAGGAAGTATGTTAACAAAAATACCAACCAATTCTTCCAAATCCAACGATTCCAACAGTGCTACCCATCAATGTTGGCCCACACATCCACAGTGGCTTCCAAGTGCCCCACCCACCACTGAAAACACACAAGCAGAAAATAAAAACACTGGGTTAAAAAAGAAAAAAAAAACATCTTATAATGCAAAATGCAGTGATGTAGCTTAAGCCTTCAGCAGCTTGCAAAAGCAGAAGCCTTTTTCTCACTTTTGGTCTTCACTTGCTGAGGAATGGCACAGAACCTACAGTACATTACGGGTAATAGCACAACAGCTTTGTAAGGATCCATAATGAATTTGTCAACATACTAGTGTCGCAGACAAGGAAAGAGGATTTTGTAAAGGATTTAACAACTTACTTTTTCACTTCTGCGGCTGCTTCAATCAATCGCCGCTGAGTAGCCAAAAGTAAGGCCACTGTCAGGGTGGCCTACAAAAAAAATACATATTGTTAATATTATAACTATTGTGCAAATATTATAACAAAAAAAATTGATAAATTTTATAATCTGTACTGTAAGGAAAAATTCAAAAGAAATTAAAATAAGGAAGGTTTTTCTAACTTCTAATCCAAACTGTAAAGGCAACTAGAAACAGTTTTTTTTCTATCTTACATGTACGTGCAGGCATTTTTGAGGAAACAGTGGAGCACTAGAATTCAAGCAGGTTGTCTTGTGGTGCAGGAGACACATGAGACAAGAAAGGGGTCAGGGATACATGAATGGTTCACTACTACAGCTAAGCTACAAGAACAGCAGTGGTATGACAGAATGGGGGCAATTGTGTTTTCTGGCATCTGCATCCACATCCATCTGATTAAGTGGTGGTTATGTTATGGGTAAACATCTGTTCTCAGGTTAAATCAGTATTCAATCTAGGTTAAATGTGTTACCACAATTCTACCTACGATTGCCAACAAAATTGTTGAGACATTGTCCTGAAATGGGGTAACTTCAGAGAACATTTCTGCACCCCTCCCCTCTGACCTCCATTCTAATAACTTGTAAGTTGGGGCATTTGTTGTTTTCAACAGGTAGCAGCCACGAACAGTGGCACAACACTGCATGGAGGCGATGGGGAAGGAAAAGCCTTATTTTTCCTTTTTTAACTTGGCAAAACATTTGAAAGGCCCTCCGTCAGGGCAAAGTGTCTCAACTAATTTTGTCACCAGTTTTAGGTTAATCTACAGCTGCAAGTTAAAGTTGTAAGTAGACTCCACTGCATAATCAAATTATTCTACGTAGTAGTATGTTAATTTTACAGAGAGCATTAATTTAATTAAGGTTAAATTTTAATTTTTGTGTGTTTGGAGACAGTTAATTCTATGTTTGGGTTACTAATGTCTTTAAAACAAGACATTTAAATTGACTTACAGTTGCATCTGTTAGCACTCCTGGAGTATGACCGACAGGAATCCCTCTACACAATCAAACATCAAAATAATTATGCAAATGAAAATTACTCAGAGAACATTGATGGCAGTGTATGTCTATAAATTAAAAGAGAAATTCATTTTGACCATTACATTTATCTATGATGGTTGTTAATTGACTGTAATTGCCTAATGAAAGTACTAAATACAGTCGGGGGGACTGAGAAACAACTACAGTAAAAGCTAGTGGTCAGGCCACTCTTTGATCAGGGTCAGCCAGGGGAGGTAGTGGTATACCAGTTTATCCGAAAACAATTTGCCAAAATACCCAAAAATACCCAAAATTCATCCAAATATACCCAAAATTATACCCAGGTATACTTTATACCTGAAATTCAAAGAAAGTGATGTACCAAATACCTGTATTTAAGCTGCAATATACCGTATACCCAATTTAAAAAGCCCCTGTATACCGTATACCCAAAAACCCTGGCCAACCCTGTTTGATAATTCTAGAAATCTAGTTAGCAATCCATATCATTGAACCATGACCTCTCTGTTTGGTTGCAACAATAATATTATTTGTGGTGATGTTCTTACCTTTTAGCAGCTTCTGGCAAACTGACATGATCAAACCCTACTGACATTGTGCTCACGATCTTGAGCTGTGGACCTGCGTAATGTGTAAATATGAAATTTGTGTAATATAGATTTATTCAAACTCAGACCAAAGTTAAATGATGTATAGAGTGCCCCTTGTTTCTCTTCAAAGTAAAGAAAAAAGATTGAGAGACGATGTGGTGAACAAAGATCACAGCTCTACAGTTCTCAAAGTAGGAGATGAAATTAGTCACAAACATAACAAAAATCCCTTTATCATTCATTTGATGGTGCTAATAAACTGATAAAGAGTATCTGATGTAAGCTACACTTTGCATTTGAGGGGTGTAGACGGGTACCTTGAAAAACGTGGGTCTCAGAAAACTGATTTTGGCCCAATCTCAAAATTTTTGAAGCATTTTTGATGGGTCTCAAAAGTCTCGTTTTCAGGTGATTTTTGCACCTTGGAACCCCAAATTTGAATTTGAAAAATGCTGGGTCTCAGAGTCTCATATTTGTTTTTTTTTCTTTCCGTTTGGTGTCCAGGAGTCGAATTTTTAGAGTTCATGAGTACAGCTTATCAAACTGAGCTAGTATTATAGATTAATACAATAAGACATAACAAAGCAAATAATATAAAAAAATAACACTGAACCATCATTTTTTGGAACTCAATTGATGTGCAAAACGTTCTCGCTCCTTAAAAAGATGGCAAAGAATGTGTCACAAGCCCATTAATGATGTTTTCACCAAGGCTCTTCCACGAAAAAAAGGCTCATCCATTAGCTGGCATGAACCTTTTTGATAAGAGTGCTTCCCCAATTTACAAGAAACTTTGTCCAACGATTTCTACATGATAGTTTTAGACAACAGATGAAGTTGTGAACAGCCATGGTGTGTATTGAACACTAACCAGCAGCATCAAGTAACTCGGCATCAATCTTCTCTGTAAGGAGGCAGTAAAGTCCATCCACCCCAGACACTCGGTTCAGAAGTTCACCTCTGGGAATAGGATCATCTGAGTCCCAGTGATCCAAATCACAGCTTTCAGTAATGAATGAATAGTTTAAATATTAACTTGGAGAATAGGATGCAATGAAGAGTACTGGAAAGTTTTAAGTGTTGAAATAATTTAATAAATACTTGCCCTTAAATAAGTGAAGATCAACTGATCTTTGTCCTTCAAATACAGTCAAACCTCCAATAACAGGTGCCACAATGGCCACCTCTCTACAATGGCCAGTTGTTTCAGCGCGACTGAAGAATGTCATGAAATTTGATCTACATGGTGTGTTGATGATTAATCGCAGCAACTGTATTTTGATTGTGTTCCATTTATACTGCTTCAGCAAAAAGTGTCTATGATGCTCATAGCGAATGTTGCCATGAACTTAACACAATAAACATGTTGTACTCCCTAAAAAATTTGTCATATTACACCCCTACCTCCCCATAACGGCCACCTCTCCACAACTGCCACTTTCTTCTGTCTGTGAGGTGGCCATTGTGGAGAGGTTCAACTGTAAATTTAAATTTAAGGCTCTAACCAGGCACCGATCCATACCGGTTCCACCGTTTTACGGAAATTGGTCAAATTTTTTGTAATAAATATATTTTTAGGGAAAAACTTTAAATTTTCCAAGTTGAAATCTGGAAAATGGTTTGGACAGTCAGTAAATGTCCTGTCTGAATGACTCAGAAACCCAAGAAAGAGGACCTTGGGGAGTTCAAATCATGTTTGCGTGATGAACAGCATCTCACACAAAGGGAAAGAAAAGTGTGAGTTCTGGGGTTAGCCTGCTACCTTCCCCTACCTCTCTAGTAACTCTCAGTCTCCATGTAAACAGATACATCCTTAATTAGTTTACCTCTCTTCAATGAAAAAACAAACAAACATATAACTAAACAAAGGCTTCTCGCGTACTCGTGCAATTCCAGTGAGCTATAAAAGACTATAAAGGACACCATCCGTCGAGTCTGTGTTTTAATACTGACAAGTAAAAGGGGATTCTAATTTCACCATCTCTTTTCTCCTTCAATTGCAATAAGGGCTTACCATTAATTAATTTAATTCATAAAGGAATAGATAAATGACTCCCAAATGACTACGTGCCGTTTTCCTCGAACCGCATCGCAAATAGTGTAAGTTTAACATATTCAAAAAGTCTGTCTTAAGGAGCCACCGAAAAAGCACAATGATACCTCATGCAAAAACTGTTTACCTTTTAGAATCCTTGAGAATTTCTATGGCAGCTTGTGGTACTCTTCGTGTGACGAGAATCTTGTGTCTTCGTTCGCTTGCCATGTTCCGCGCGAGAGTAGAGTTTACAACACGTCTGCTGACAAAACCACGGCACAGCCGAGCAAAAGGAGCGTAAGACATAGCAAATCAACCACAGAGAAATAAAACGACTGTAAAAAACTTCTGGTGGCAGACGGGACGCGATCAAACGTGAAACAAGTCAGTATACCCACCCGAAAAGATGATCTGATATCTGAAGAAACAGCCAGGCTTTTCTACTTAGCCGGGTAACCTGGACACTAGGTTCTTTGGGGCGTACCTCTGGGCGTACAAAGGGGTGTCGCCTTTGGACCTCACTTGAGCGTGCATGTATCTCAAAAAAATTTTTGCCCGATCTCGAAAGTGAGGTCTCGAAGTCTCGTTTTCGGTTGATTTTGCGTCTTGAAGTCTCGCAAATTCTCGAATTTACCGTTCTTTACCCCCACCAATGTTGCCCATAAAATGTCAAATAAGCCATTTTCGAGTTGCCCCAGGCGAGGCCGAGTACAAAGCTTTTTAGCCTCATTTTTTAGAACTCGGAAATGGCGGCAAAAGACTAATTTTAGCATTTTTTATCAAAAGAGGTACGTAAAGCTGCGTGTAGAATGGCGGACTGGACAGTCCTCACTAACTTCCTATTAAACATACAAGAGTATGGGGGGAGTAATTTTGAATGGCAATTATGGCAAATGAGATTCAATCAAAACAGCAAGTAGCAAACAATTTTCGCCTAGCCTGAAAATCGATTGCAGCCGCACTCTCATCTAGGCTTTGTTAGATTGTGCTCGCAAAAGTAGCATGATATGCTACTAGCCGTGCTCGTATATTTTTAACATTATGCAGGAGCCCATCATTATGCCAATTTATATTCTAGTTTTTGTAAATTATGCTCAATTTAGCAAAAAATGCAGAAATTATGCTTCTCTTTTTCACTGTAATGTAAATTTGGCAAAAACACCTAAATAACTATGCAATAGACAAGTAAATGGCAAACACATTTAGCGGGCTAAAGTTACATTTAGAAACTCTACCAGTTCACTATAAATTCCTGGGCTATTATCCCTGTATGCTTCTGCTGTCACAGACGACGCCATCAATCGCAATCTTGGGTACATGTAACCAAGCAAGTTATGCGCATGCATTTAGTCCTGTGGAAAGAGTCCTTGGTCACTTCCAAAACGTGGTTACATGATCAAGAAATGATAATATTTTGTGCTGAGAAACTAGTCAAAAGTGCAAATTATGTTAGCAATGTTTTTTTCGGCAAAGAGATGAATATTATATGCTACTAATGACAAATTATGCCAAAAATTACCCTGGCACAATCTATCACAGCCTACTTTCATCCCCAGCCCTTGCAACCTCTTCCATAAGGCTTTCCCCTTTAAAAATGGGAACCCATTTCGTCAAATGCCACCTGCGACTGGAAGCCATGTGAGACGGCTGTATTTTCAGGGTCAGTTTCGCCATGTCTGGCAGAATTTTTTTTACTATTACACAAAATAGAGCCTAAAGTCCGGGTTACCACATTTTCGGCACTTTCTCCTCAGTAAACGTTTATGACTTGGGAGGGGTGGCGGGGGGGGGGGGGGGAAGGGGGGGGGGGTAAAAGGGTTGAGAAAAAATGGCAAACGGGTTAGGAGGCTTTCCAATCCCCTCCTTCTTTTTTTTTTATTTAAAAACCCGCCAGAGGAAGGAAGGGGTGGGGGGGGATAAAGGGGCACAACAAAGGGAGGAGGCGCCCCCCGTTT